AATAGAGAAGAACGTAGGCGAGAAGTACCTGAAGTGCAGCAAGAAAAGCTGAGCGAGGCGAGAAGTTTTCAGGAAAAAACTGAAAGAAAACGAGAGAGAAAACAGCGGGAAAGAAGGAATAAAGAGAAAATGAAGAATCGAAAAAAAAAAAAAAAAAGGAGAGCGGAGAATCAATGTATTGTGAAGCGAAAAAGAAAAATGAAGAGAGTGTGACAGTGTGAGTGAGTTTTGAATTTGCGACGTGTTTTATTTAGAGCCGTCGGATTTGATCGCGTTGGAGAGAGCGAGAAGATGAGGGTTAAGGAGATTACGAGCATGGATGGAGGTGGGTGGGAATAGAATAAGAGCATCAAATTGTTAGGACTTTATTTTTCATATAGAATATATTCTTCCTATCCTTTCATATCCCTTAAAACATCTCCTCTTTTTATTATGCAAACAAATAATCAAATTCCCCATTTATTACTCCTTCTTATTACTCCTTCTTATTACTCCTTCCTTCTTATTACTCCTTCCTTCTTATTACTCCTTCTTATTACTCCTTTATACCACACCTCAAAATTATCCCCATTTAAAAATAATTTACCTCAACTTCTTTATTTATTAAAAAAAAGTGTAGTAATTTTCTAAAACTTGTTTCCTTATACTTTTATTTCTGAGAAGGCGTCTATTTCAAGCTGCGGCGTCAACTGCATATGGACAGAAAAAGAAAAGTTGTTGGGGGTGTGGGGACATTTCTATTACATACTAAATCCCCAAGCCCATTACACTCATAGGAGCTGGCCCGGCCCATTACACTAACAAAAGGAATTCATAACCATTGGGCCGAAGATGGCCCATCTTTTCGTTTCCAAGTCATGGATCAAACCCCATTGTGTGAACTTATTAACGGGCTTGGATAATTATAATATTGTTGTGTTCATTAAAAATATAAGATGGTTAACTAAATTAAGAATTGAATTATGAAAATGATGATTTAAATAAAATAAAAGGCAATAATTTTGTGGGGGAATTGAAAGGGATGGATTTATTTATAAATTAGGGTTTTGGGTGGAAAATGCATCACTCTTAACTTTAACATTAAAAGGTTTGCTCCCTTTTTCCCTCCCTTTTCTCTTTTGCTTTATTTTGTTTCTTTGGATGCATTACCTTACCTTATGTGTCTTCTCTTCCTATCTCTAACTTACTCAATTATTTGGCTCTTCCTTAAGTAAGAATCAATCTAAACTTATATATATATATATATGCTTTTTTTTAAAAAAAAATATTCTCCTATCGGTAATATATTAAATGATGTAAAATTGATTGCTAAATTCTCCCGACTATAAATGAAAATGGATTTGTTAAAAAATGAAAAACAATGCAAAATTAAACACAAAACTCTCAATTATTTGGCTCTTCCTTAGTTAAGAATCTAAATAGGTTTTCTTTATGAGAAAAAAAAAAAAAAAAAAAAAAAA